TCATATCAAGTTTCAAAATCTGCTGCACATACCAAATATCTTAATTTAGCTTATCCACATTTCAAATGATCAATATGTGGTTTGTGGCTACCATATTAAACAGTCCAGGACAATCGAAGTGTAACAATCTCCCATTAACAACAGATCTTGCTGTCTTTCTGTTACAGAGGAACCTAAGGCATGTGATCCTCAGACATCTTGGCCTGATATGGGAGTTTATTCATTGACCACTATGTTTTCAGCACTATGATGGGCATCGGTCATAATGAGGTCTTGCCATAGCAATCTTTCCTCTATTATGTTTTGTTTTTTTAACAAAGTCACTGTTTCTAAAAATATTGTGACAAAAATATACACAACAGAACATTCGCCAATTTCAAAACTTCTAATTGTATAATTGGAGAATGTTCTGTTGTGTATATTTTTGCTACAATTAGAAAATATTAATTGAATGAATAACAATGATGACAAGGAAGAAGAAAATGTTCTAAAATTAAAAATGATGACAATTGTAAAACTCTTCTCGATATGGTTGAATTATGGATGTAAGACATGTGGGTAAAGTACTAATAAAACTGTTAAAAAGAAAAGAAGAGTACTGTGAGCATCACAAAGGACATAGTCTCTGTTTTATTTTGTCTCTCCTAAACCACTTACTTTGAAATGCATGGTCATCTGTCCGGCACTGCAATTACACAATGATTCAAATGGGATCTCTTATTTTTCCTACTATGTCTCCATTAGCCTTAATGTTTTGCTGAAGCATTTCAGATACATATTGATTTCCCTTTTTTATTTATTTTTTTCCTCCTTGTATTTGATCTTCACTCATTTCTTGTTTTTTTGCTAAAGTCTTCCTTAGGCGACTCCGTGGTTTTCCCTTGGCATCAGTGCGCACTCCCAACTGAGTCTCACTGTCGCTCTACATGAGACCGCTCCCTTGAAAATGGCTTCAGAGAGGATGGCAGCTTCAGAGTGTCAGGAAACTCACCCAGAATCAGAAGAAACAAAGTTACAAAGCAGACACTAGTAATAAGAAAAGAGCAATGGTCAATTATGGGGCAAATATGCCTGTCAAAATGAAACTCAAGTGGAGGAAATTGTTACTGAGGGAGGCTGCCACCCCATATCCACAGCCATAGTGCATGGTTCTCAAGGGGAACTCAAAAGGCCAAGCAATCCTCACTTAACTGAGGAAATGACAATCAGCCATGGTACTAAAGTAGGAATGATTTTTATAAATGAAGGTTAATACCAAGATGTTCCAGCTTCAGATTTCTGCCTGGCTATGATTCCATCTTTAGAAATCCATCTCTACAGTGCCAAATTCAGAAGATGATTGTACCCAACTCATTATTGCCCTATTTGCTGAATCTCTTAAAATAGAATTAGATCATCATTTAGAATATAGACCCAGCACATGGAAATAGACGGCCACATAAGGCTAAGACCTGAGTTGTGAGACACAGTTGTGAAATGCCATTGGAAATCAAATTTCCACTCTTAAAATCCCAAAAGAATGTTTGAAGCACAGCTTTTGACAGTGCATGTAAGTCAGCTTTGTTTCCATATTATTTTAGAAAGTAGAACTACGTGGTTCTTGTTAATTCTTTCAGGCTGGTCCCACCAAAAGAAAGCTGCTATTTTTTCTTCCATTCCACCCCTCTATTCTACTGCCCTTTATTCCTGTCTTGTGCACCCCAGTGTGTACACACACACACACACACACGCACACACACACACCCCTTTTTGTTGTTATTTGCCATAAAGTTGAATCTAATTCATGGAAAACCAATTTACAACAGAAATAAGGCATTGCCTTGTCCTACACCAACCTCACCATTATTGGTGTACTCAATTCCATTGTTACAGACACTGTCTTCCAATCTAGGAGGGTAAGCAAAATATTGGACAATATTCTATTGTGATCTGTTGGATTGTCATTGGTTCATTTTCAGAAATAGGCCAAGCAAGCTTTCTTCCTAGCCGTAGACTGGAAACTCCCTGAAATCAGTCTGCCATGGTTGACTATGTTGCTGTTTGGCCAGCATCAAAGCAAAATGCAAGCCACTATAATAAGCTTACAGATAGAGTATGTATGTACATGATGCAGCATTTTTGAGTGATCATGCATTAACCCAAACCCAATCAAGCCCACTGCCAATGAGTTGATTACAACCGATAGGTTTTCCAGACCTGGTAAATCTCTAGGGAACACACAGCTCCATGTTTCTCCCATAGAAGGTTCCAAACAGAGACCTATGGTTAACAATCCAATTGTTACCCAACAGCGCCAGTAGGGTGCTGATTCCCCACTGCCATCAGGTCAATTCTGACTCATAGTGACTATATACAGGGTTTCTGAGACTGTAAATTATCGATGGGAGCAGATTTATCTTTCTTCTGAGTAATGGCTTGGGGGTTAGAACCAACCATTTTTAGGTTAACAGTCCAACATTTACCCAACAATGTCAGTGCTACATTGCTGACATTTAGAAGAAAGATTTCTTCTAGAATGTGCTCCTTCCTTGTGATACTGACTTACAGGGTCAACTTACGGTTAACACATAAGCTGAAGTAGTAAGCTCTCCTGGCTTTCAGCAAGGAGCCCTGGTGGCACTGTGCAATCAGCATCAAGCTGCCAACCCACCAGCCCCTCTGAGGCAGAACCTGAGACTGGCTGCTTCTGTGAAGGTTGACAGGCTTGGGAACCCTAAAGAGCAGTTTTACTGTCCAGTAAGGTCTCAGTGAATCAGAATCGACTCGTTGGCAGAAGAGAGTGACTTCAAGCAGTTCTTCCAGTTATAGGGTTGGCTCTCAGAGAACACACTGCTAAACTCACTCCATGCACAGCCTCACTGCTGGTCTGCCCTTTGTTAAGCTTTTGGGATCCTTGTCTGAGCAAAGTGCATGCTGGGCCAGCTGCAGTTTCAAATTCACATCACCAAAATTACCCTCTCACTCAGGGATCTCTACTTACAAAGTGTCCTGCAATCCTCCCAATGACCCTGTGATGTGAATGTTAATGTTATTCTCATTGTACAGAAGAAAAACTGAGAGTGCAGAGAAGTCCAGAAATGAGTCAGAATTTGAACCCCGATCTTTGACTCTGAGCTAGACCTCTTTCTGCTTGATTGTCCCCAGTGTAAAACTTTGTGATTTGAGGGAAAAGAGAAAGCAGCAGCGTGGGACCAGCTCTCCGGGAAAAAGCCCATGGGCAGTCCTTCCTGCCAACTTAGTGTGCCTCTGCCGGGTGTTCCTTTCCTGCCTTGACTGCTTACTTGAGTGGACTCCACGGCAGCTAACAACAACAGCAAAGTCGGCGTGTCACCAGCTCTCTTCCCCTCTGGAGGCTGCAGTGGAGGACCTATTACTTGCCCACCCCAGCTTCTAGACAAAATAGAAATTCATTTCTTTGTCTTTTCCCCAATACTTGGCTCATGATCCCTTCTTCCATCATACAAGACAGTACCATAATATCTTCTCTTTGGTTTGACCTCTGCTCCTGTCCTTGTATTTACTGTTTCTAACTCTGACAACCCTACTACCTTCCTGTCATTAAAGACCATGTATCCACCTGAATAATCCAAGATGATCTCCCTATCTCAAGATCCTTAAGCTAATCACACCTGCAAAGTCCTTTTCACCACATCAGGTAACATGTTCACACGTTGTGAAAATTAGGCTATGAATATCTGTGGGGATCATTATCTTGCCTATGCACCAGCTGACCATGCCTGCTAACATCATGTGGAAAGAAGAGCATGTGCAAAGCTGGGGACACCTGGCCCCATATCACTTGGGCAGCTGCACATATTGTGTAGGGTGGGAGTGCAGGTTTAAAGAGAACCAAGGCAAGAGATCACACAGGGATGCAAGGACGGCAGATCATGTTGAACATTGCTTTTGTTTGTGTGTGTGTGTGTGTGTGTGTGTGCTTGAATGATAATTATGGACATCTTTGATTTATATCTCTATTTGTTCATATACTCCTGAGGTCAGGCTCTGTGATAGTTTCTTCTTTGTTCCATCACAGCTCAGGCTCAGTGAGTGTCATGGGACATGTGTTTAGCATATATACATGGCATCCATAATTGCCAGCTTTGCCCTGCTGGCGGTGACCAGAGAATTAAAGGGTCCAAAGACCAGCCAGTATGATCCTGGGAATCTTTGTCTTCTTCAAGCTTGCTGGACAGAGATGTTTTCTGAGTTAGCAGTGGGTGTGGTCACAAGCTGGAAGCGTTTTTTTAAATGTCAAAAGGATCATGGTTACAGCTGGAGTGTGAGCACCTGTGGGTCCTTTACACTCTTCTTTCCACTGAATATTTCCAAAATATAAAGTTTTATGGATGTTATATGAACCAAGATGAGATACTTCAGCATTACAGAAAGCATAACAGGCATTAGAATTGGGGGAAAGTTCATGGCAATGATTAAGTTCAGAACCAAAACTCAATGCCCACTGAGTCTGTTACAATTCATGGAGACCTCGTGTTGACAAACAGAACTATACTCGTAGGGTTTTCAATGGCTGATTTTTCATTATATTGCCAGACATCTCTTTTGAGGTCCTTCTGGGTATTTTCAAACCTCTAGTCTCTCCGTTAAAAGCTGAGTGTGTTAGCCTCAACCAGCAGTCAGGCACTCTTTAGTTCTTCTCTTCTCAGGGTCACAGAAGCTGAGGCTCACTTGATTTGTGAGGCCATTGGGTTCATGATTTTTATGAGTCTTCAATTTTCATCACTTGTCTTTGCTCCAGACAGCGAGAGACTAATGGCTGCCCCTTAGAGGGTTGCTAGTCCCCCTACTCACTCCCCACCAAAGTAGGATGCAGAACAATGTCTTTGTGGATTGTGTTATACCAATTGACCTTGGTGTCACCAATGGTCCTAAGTCCCGAGTTTTAGGGATGCAAATGATTCCATCTTGATGACACCTTCCTTTGGAAGACTTCTATTTAAAATGTGTGCTTTTCTCATTTCTCTGACCCTCCTCCCCAGACCTTGAAGGATGCCAGTGACAATGCACGCAAGGACTTCCACCGGGAAGCCGAGCTTCTGACCAACCTCCAGCATGAGCACATCGTCAAGTTCTATGGTGTCTGTGTGGAGGGTGACCCACTCATCATGGTCTTCGAGTACATGAAGCATGGGGACCTCAATAAGTTCCTCAGGTACAGGGGCAGGTGGGAGGTGGCTCAAAGAGGGAACAGGACTTCCTAGCTCACAGAGCCTGAGGGTGAGCATGGGGTATTCCTGGAAGGATAAAGGAGATCCTAGACCCTTCTCTCTTGCAACCTCTGCATCAACATTGTGTGAAAAAAAATGAACGTCATCACATCACTCATGCTTCTTTACCAAACTAATATTTTATTTGTTTACCAAACAAATATGAGCCTAATCATTCAGCTTGATTTAACATGTCTTATTGATCATTTTTTATTGTGATTTAGAAGGAAATGACATACAGAACTCCCTTGAGGCTATCACAGTTTTATTAGGGTTGGGGGTGGAGGGTACAGCCATTTAAAAGGGGAGGGGGAAACTTAAGGACACAAAATGATAAGGTAAACAGTTTTTGTATTAAGTGACATGTGGCATGTGTATATGAGAAGGGCCATAGAGCCATAGGAGTTTGCCAAGTAGATGAGAGAAGGTTGGATGTTATTCAAAACAAAGGAAAGAACCAAAGGTGAGTTTCCCAGAGGTCACAGTGAAAGACTTGGTCACAGGAGAATAGAGAGATTAGCATTTTCAGATTGTGGAATGGACCAGTGAGGTGGGGGCAGGGGGAGGGGGAGGGGGAACTAGAAAAGCATGCTGTAGTCCAGTCCATAAGGTGGGTTAGTTCTATCTTTGGATTTCATTTTGTGGGCCAAGCAGACTTCACGGAGCATTTCAAGCAGACAAGCAACTTGCCAGGCATACACTTTGAAATAGGGGTTCCAGAAGCATGGAGAAAGGGTCACCGGGAGAGGAGGTTTAAGCAAAAGGATCACATGTAACCTTTGTGAAGTCCAGGTATTCGTCTAGAAAGGACCAGGAAGAGGAAAGGTAGAGATGACGAGATAGACACAAAGTCTGTGAAAATAGAGATTGAAGGACTTGGGTGAAAGGGCCACTTGATGATGACTTCCAGTCTTGAATGTGGCCATTTTTTACCGATGGTGAAGTTACTTGTTAATGGGAAGTAGAAAGGGAGCAGCATATTTATGTAGGGGAAAAAATAAGCTCTGCTTTTAGCAGGAAGAGTTTGTGACGCCATAGAGAAAACTTGATGGAAATGCTCAGTGGAGAAGTGAGAGGATGAATATGGATCTCAGAATGAGGTCATTTTACAGAATTGAGAGAGTTACTGGTTTGGGAGTGTTTTCTTAGGAGTAGAATGGGAAGAAAAGAGAAGAAAGGAGAGGACTCTGAGGACTATCAGCATCTCGGGAAGCAGAGGATGAAATGCAGGAAAGAGAAGAGCATCCCCAGAGGCAGAAGAATTCAGCGACGAAGGGCATGAGTTTAAAGAAAGAGAGTTACCACCTTTCAAAAAGTAACTCTCTCCTAGGGCTGAAAGGGCCAGCATAGATCCAGGGTAGTGATGAGAAAGACAGTCAAATACAAGTTGTGCAGGGAATGAATGAGAGGTGGATATGTAGAAGCAAGAAATATAAACTATTTCAAGAATTTTAGCACAATAAGAATATATTGAAAGCCACAATGGGTGCAAGAGAAAGTTTCCATCATAGATTGGAGAAGTCAACTGCATACAGGAACAACTATAGAGAGATTAAAGGGGTTCTATCTTAATTTCAAAGGTCTTGAAAGAAAGATCAAGATGACAGATGAGGAGTCTAAGTTTTGTAGGAATAGGAAACTCTGGTCCAGAAATAGGAAGGAAAAAATGGATAAAAGTAGGATACTGAAGTAGGCAACCCATGAGGTGAGACGCATAGAGTAGAGGGGGCTTGGACTAGAAGTGTGGTTAAATTGAGAAGTACAAGTATGGCTAAAGTTTGGAACAGTTTCTTTCTTTATTTTTCTGCTTTTCTTTTTAAAAATCATTTTATTGGGGCTTCATACGGCTCTTATCACAATACATCTATACATAGTGTAAAGCACATTTGTACACTTGTGGCCATCATTATTTTCAAAACATTTTCTTTCTACTTGAGCCCTTGATATCAGCTCATTATTTCCCCTCCCTTCCCCAACCTCCCTCCCTCATGAACCTTTGATAATTTATAATTTTTTTCATGTCTTTCACTAACTGATGTCTCCCTTCAGCCAGCTTTCTGTTGACTGTCCCCCAGGGAGGGGGGTATATGTAGATCATTGTGATTGGTTCCTCCTTTCACACCCCCACCTTCCCCTTCCCTCTTCTGGTATTAGTCCTGAGGGGTTTCTCTTAAAGTTGAGAAATGTAGGAAGACACTTGGTATTCTTATGCTGGTAGGTACCACTGAGTCAGTTCCAACTCACAGTGACCCTATGTACAAAATATTGAAACACTGCCTGATCCTTCATCATCCTCACATTTCTAGTTATGTTTGAGCCCAGTTTTGCAACTATAGTGTTGTCCGTCTGTCTCATGGAAGGCCCTCCTCTTTTTTTCCTACTGTACCTAGCATGATAACCGTATCCAAGGAATGGTCCTACATGATAACATAGCCAAAGTACATGAGACTAAGTCTCCAGTCCTTGTTCTGGGAAAGCTCTAGAAGAAGAGATATGAAAGGGAGCAAAATATTAATAGATGAGGATCTTAAAGATCAGGATAAGGCACTTTATTTGAGGGTCAAAATAATAACCTCTAGCTCAGTACACCAGAGGAGCTCTGTAGAGAGGAGAGTCTAAAAATCAAATCTTTAATAGGAAAGTGGTAAATATTTGGCAAGAACTCTGAGGACTAGGATTAATCAAAGAGAAGAGCATTAATTCAGGGTTAATGGGAGATTGTCTTCTTGAAAATAACTTAAGATCATCAGAAGAGGATCTGCTTCACTGGGTGATATGTGTAACAAGCAGGATCATTAGAAGAACTCCAACTCTCAGCCAAGATAAGGAAGAGAAAATATTGGATGTACAAGAGAGTCTTTAGGTTACTGCATGGGGTTCCTGTCCCTTGGACTTATACCCTGTTTCCCCGAAAATAAGACAGTGTCTTATATTAATTTTTGCTCTCAAAGATGCACTAGGTTGGGGGATGTCTTACTTTTCCATGAAGAAGAATATGGTACACATTTATTGTTGAACAACAAAAAAGGAAATTGATTACCTGTATACGGTACGGTAGTAGTTGTCATCACAAACCAGCATAACCAGACAAACTGTGAATCCTACAGTATCAAGAATTTCTTGTTACTACCCTGTTTCCCTCTCCCCCCACCCCTGTGCCAGTGGACACCTTCACCAGACATCCCCTCACCCCTTTATCAGACATTTCCCCTCTACCTCAGTCACCCCGGTGTGTCCACACAATGTGCCTGACTCCTGACCCACTTGACTCATTGTCTAATTGGAGTCAGCCAGGTCAGGGCAGAGTGGGCAGCAGGTGGCAGCTTGTCCTGGTAGTGGCATGGGCTCTCTGATTAAAAGAGACCTCGCACTTCCTGTCTGCTCTGGCTGTGCTGCAGCCACAAGTGAGCTGCGCAGAGGCGCCTGCCGCTATGGTCCAGAGTCCAGAGTTATGGTAGCTTCAGGGGGCCCTTATTACCTGGGAGGTCTTATGTTCGGGGGAGGCCTTATTATCAGGGAGGTCTTATTTTCGGGGGTGCCTTATATTTCAGTGAGAGGCAAAACTGTAAATAGGTCTTATTTTCGGGAGATGTCTTACTTTCGGGCTGGTTGAGTCTCAGCTCAATAGTGTCTTCTCAGGAAGTCTCTCCTTTAGATGTGTTATAGGGGTTAGGGAGCACCACAAGGTAGAGCAAATGGGAAAAAATATAGAGTGAGCACAGCATGGAGGAAAATGAAACAGTAAAATACTCTCAGAATATAAGCTCTTGTATTAAGTAATATTGAGGAAACAACCTGGTATACTGGAACAAACAGGAATTGTGGCTTCCAGTTACAGCTGAAGGTGATCCTGGGTCTGCATTTACTACATGAATGACCTTAGAAAAATAAATCTCTTAGCTGTTTTGATATCATGTTAAGCTGGCAGGGTGTTCATGAGGACTGAATAAAAATAAGCTCCCAGTGTAGAAGCAAATGGGAAATAGTCAGTGATTAGAAGCGTGAGTTCAGCTAATGATTATTTTGATGGGTGTATCAGCTATCTCAGTGAGAGAAACCTCAAGGATTGCTAATAAACTGGAGGAACTTGGTGGTTATCTTTGGGAACTCAGAATGAGAATTGTCAGTGTTTTATGTTGTTCCAGGGAGAGCTATTCCTTGGAAAAGGACACCAAATAATGTTTCAGGGGCTGTTTTGCTTTTTGTTGTGGCTGTTCACTAAGCAGGGACACAATGAAAGTGTCCTTTCAAGGTAATAAATCAATGGTGAAAAAAGTCCCATCCCTGCGGAGCACCAAGACGCCTGGCTCTTCAATCCTAAACTGCATCCACTACTTGGGTCCCTACAGAAAGGCCTCTGATTTACTTCCTCCTGGACACCGGTTTTCTAAATCCTCCCTTAGTCTTTACAATACAGCTAGACCTCATCTTTGAAAGATAAGCATGTTGTCTCCAATGTGTTGGGAAGTGGTCAAACTTGGGGGGAGCAGGAAAGATGCTAGAGGCTGACCAGGCTGGATTTACATCCCGTCTCCATTTCCTTCCAGCAGTGTCATCTGAGTAAATCTGAGCGAGACTGGCCTCAATGGTCTCAGTTTCTCTATTGGTGTAAAGGGTACAATAATATTGATCTCCAGGTCTGGTGTGAGGACTGGTTCATTGGCAGATGCTCCATGAATGTCATCCTCGCCTCTCTTCCTCTGCCACATTTATCTTTATATCATGGTAGGAATCTCTGGGGAAGTTATTCTTTCTGTGTGACGGCTACCCCCAGACCTCTTGGTTCCTCCTCAGTTTCTAGGGAGTCAGAGGGGAGTTTACCACAGAAGTGAGCCTTCATAGCCTCACTCATCTGCTAGAAGATTCTGAAACTGTGAGTTTAAATAATCAGTCAATCACCAAGAAAACAGAGGAAGTGGTGCTGTTTTTAGAAATGTTATCCCAT